AAAAAAAATCAATCACAGTCATGCTTTACTGAGGTCTTTTTGCATGATGCCATGTGGGAATGCAAGGACTTGCAGTCCAATTCAGCTCTGTTTGTCCTTCAGATACTCTGCACCCTCCCAGTATCAATTAGTTCCAACTTCTAATCCCATTCCAACCGACCTTTCTACTCTTCTTTTCCCTAAAACATCTCATCAAAACCAACCAAAACCAATTTGCATCTCACTTCGGTTTCATTTCTTCCCCATCCTTCCAGTATTACTTCAGAGAGTTGCAGCAAGCATCTGCCAACTTTAAAAACAGCAAGGAAATGAAAAATACTGAGAAGGTGCAAGTCCATTTTAATAACAAAGCATTACCCAATTTCCTTCAGGCTCCTACAAGAGTCAGCCTACACATTTACCCATACATCGCTCATCTTAGGACTAAAATAAATACAGCAAAATAGTTGAGAGGTGGAAAGAGCCATTTTGGCATTCATCTTTACCCAGGTACAAGCACAGAGTTATACAACAACCGATGTTTTGTCAAATTAAGCTGTATCACAAGTAAATTATACTCTTGCCACTCTCAGCTGGGAATATCATTACATCCTAAACAGATCAACTAAAAAAGACCCACTCTTCTACTTGTGCTTTCACCCCAAGTTCAACCTTGTATTTTTCATTACTTTTAAATGTAAATAAAGTGTTTACAACCTCCATATCACTTGCATCTTTTCAACATTTGTACCCGCACAAATACTAGCCAGTTTATTTTAACATAAAAAAAGATAAAAATATAAATAGTCTGCCTGGTCACAGAAAAGACTGGGAACAGCAAATAGCATAACAGAATCCAAAAGCCTTTAAGAAAAAGGAGACAGTTTATTTCTGTGCCTCATCAACTGAAGGGTTTCTTTCCCCTCTAAACCCCCCCCCCGCCCCCCCCAAGTGACACATAGGAGCTTTCACAGTTTGAAATACGACAAGGCCAGAGAGAAAAAACCAGCCTGTATCACTTCCATTTCACATGACATAGCCCTCCTGGAGTACAAAGGTACAATAGATTTTCCTACTCCAACTTAATCCCTCCTGCAGGCTCTTCTAATTTTGGTATCAAAGTACCACTACTCACCACACTTCATGTTTTCTAAGATACAGTGCATGTATTTACCACTATCCAAGCCCAATGCTCCACGGCCCATGCATCTCAATTTTTTATGCTTCTAACTATAGTTTCATTCTCTGAAATCACTTAACTCACTCCAGCTTCATACTGGCAAATTTCCTTCGAAAGGGCAGCTCTCCATACATACAGGTGAATTCATTTAGCTTTACCAAGATGCACGATCATGCGTGCTGGCAAGAAGCACTCATGGAAAATAGCAGGATTACCTGTGAGATTAGCTGCCATCTCTTCAGCAGTCTGACACAGCCTCAGCCCTTGTTTTAGGGGACCTTCTGAGTCCACATACTGACGGCGCTTGAGGTAGCAGGACACTGCCATCTGAATCTGTTCTGTGCGTACGCGTTTCATGACCTGGAAAGAAAAGAAAGATGATGGACTGCTACTGTGGAGGCATCTGCTGAGACCAACACGCACCATAGCTGTACTGCAAGTGATAGGGAACAAATGGCATTTTCATTGCTGAAGTTAAACAGCTCCATTACTGAAGCATGAAATAAAGCTTGTGGGCACCTGTCACAGTACCAAGGCATAACCTTCATGCTTTGAATCAGCTCCCTGAAGATATTTTGCTGCTCAATTCTACTGATTTCACTAGGAAATCCACAATACCATTGAGGAGTGCACACTGAAGCTGCAGTGATCAGTCAAAGTATTTGATTTTGTTAAAGTAACTCACAAAAAGGAAAAGTTTCTCCTCCTTGCTTTTTACAGTAACTCCAGTTGTGTGCTGATTCTTCTGCTTAAACAACCAACAAAATGATACCAGAAGAGTCAGGGGAATAAGAAATTAATATAAAAAGGTGGGAATTTCAGAATAGTCATGCTTTAAATAGCCTACCTGTCTCACTTATTTGGGGAATCAAAGAAACAACAGCTTATAGCCTGAATTTACAGGTCAGGGCCAGCGTTCTGGTGCCTCAGTCAGGTACGTTTCCAGAAAAAAAAAAAAAAAAAAAAAAAAAAGAAAAAGCCAAAGCCTTTTACACCTGCTCCCATCCACGTAGACTTACCACACAAATTAAAAAAAGATCCTCCGAAGTTTCCCCTAAGTAAATTTTGAAAGCCATCCTCACAAGCACTACCTGGTTGTATCTCGAACCCAAAAGGAGACTGATGCTCACTTTTAACCTCTGGCTTTTCACAAAAGCCTCAAGAAGGGGAATGGAACAGCTCACTTCTATCTGAGTAGTTACCAGCTGCCACCAACCTTTAGACAATAGCCACAGAGCAGCTAAATCTGATGAAACGCAGCTTTGCAGAGAGTCAGGCACATACGACCTTTCTTCCCAGTTCCAAGAACTGTGCTCCTAACAAAATGCCAACTCAAGAAGCAGGCCATAGCCCAGCCTTCTCAGTATCCACACACATCTGTGCTTATCGCAGCTGTCAGAGCAATGAGCTGAGAAGTCCCAAGTAGACAGAGATGCAAGGTTTTAGCATAAGTCACTTCAAACACATAGTGAAAGTGCATAGTGGAACTGCAAGCCCTAATGCTAGGGAGAAAACTTTAAAGGGATTTCCATTTGCTCTCAAAGGTGAAGTAACGGCTGATGGTGGGGAAGGGCCACTGACACCTGTAAGTTTTGAAAGCATTCTCAGATAGATCTATTAAAATCAACTACAACTTATTCCATGCCAAAAACAAATTTCCTTTTAACCTTCAATTAAATAAATCACCTTGATTTACGCTGCTACAAATGCACCCTCAGCAAGTCCACTGATGATATGAAGCTGGGAGGAGTGGCTGACGCACCAGAATGCTGTACTGCCATTCAATGAGATCCAGACAGGCTGGAGATATGGGAAGGGAAGAACCTGATGAGGTTAAACAAGGGCAAGTGCAAAGTCTTGCACCTCAAGAGGAACAATCACACTCATCAGTATAGTTAGGGGCTGAGCTGCTGGAGATCTGCTCTGCAGGGAAGGATCTGCCGGTGGACAGCAGGTTGGCCACGAGCCAGCAGAGAGCCCTTATGGCCAAGAAGGCCAATGGGATCCTGGGATGCATTATAAAGAGTGTGGTCAGCAGGTTGAGGGAGATGATCCTCCCCCACTGCTCTGCCTGGTGAGGCTCCTCAGTTCAAGAAAGACTGGGTCTTTCTTACTTTCAAGTGACAGTGCAGCAGGACAGAAGTCTTCCCCAGGAAACCCCTTCGGGCACCAAGCTCAGGCCTCTTACTTTGCCATCATCCCTCACCCTTAGCACCAGAAAAAGCAATGCCACAAGCAGGGAAAGCTTCATAGTGAAAAATGGATTGACAATGCAAGAAAAGAAAAACAACACTCCTATGAATATTCTTCTCCAAGCCCTAAAAAACAGGGTTTATCATAAAACAAACGTAAGAAAGGGCTGCCAAAATGCCTTGAGCTGGGCTCAAATTGAGCACATTCACAACAGGTCAATGATGCAGAACTGAAGGGCAAAAAGAACACATTTGTTCCCCCTGGACCTTCGCATCATGTCCTCGCCTGGCTCTCAGAGCTGAAGAGGATCTTCAGGACATGCACACATCAACCCTATGTTGCTTCCGTGCCTGCAGGAAGCCTGGAGCACTCTTTCATTAGTCTCAGCTGCCTTGCTCCACCCAAACACCCCAAGAACGATAAATACTAGTGCCATTAATTATTTTGACTGATAAGCAAAATACACAAGGAAAGAGAACGATCACCTCAGGAGCCTACACAGCTACAGTGCAGCCTCTTTTGCACAGTCACCAGTACGAGGGCACAAAAGAGACACTGAGCTGCTGCTCTTTGAGGAACCAGAACACAGAAACCCAGAGAATACATCGTAGGTTCCTCTTTCTTAGAAGAGCTGGAAGTTGGCTGTGTGTTGAGCACTGGGTCGGGAGAATTCACTTCCTCCCACCGAGGTGCAGGTTTAGGCAGATTCCGCAGCCCTTTAGTATCACAGCATGGACGGAGAGAAGCTGGAGGACTACCGCTGCTCTGCCCTCCGTCCTGCCCGGGGATGAGGCACCAAGGATCCAAAACACCTCCCACAAACTCTGAAGTATTCAACTCATCCAAGATTCACAAAAGTTTCAAAAGAAACAAGATAAAGGCCCACTTGGGGTAGGAAAACCGCGGCCCCAGGTGGCCGTGGGCAGGGCGCTGCGGGCAGAAAGCAGACAGCCGGGATGCTAAGCGGGGTGCAGGTCCGGCTCCCTCCCTGCCCGCGGGCTCACACCGCCAGCCCCACAGAGCTGCTTTCACTCCCCTCCCCGCCCCCACGGCACGATCCCCAGTCCCCACACTCACCCCTGGCGCCCGCCCCTCCTCTTGTGCCGGCCCCCGGCGCTCTCCCGCCGCAGCCCCGTCCGCGCCCGAGGGTCACCCCGCGGCCTCCCCGGGGCCTGCGGGGCCTCCGCCACGAGGCGGCCTCCCCACGCTCGCTCCCGCCGCCGGGCGGCGCCGCTCCGCTCCGCTCCGCTCCCGGCCCGCCCGCCCGCTCGCTCCCCCCCCCCGGCGCGGCGCGGGCCGCCACTTACTGAGCATCGCAGGCGGCGGAGGCGGGGGGAGGCGGGAGCCCGCCGGCGCCGCCGGGAACGCTGTCAGTGCGCCCAGCCGCACTGGGCGGGGGCACCGCCGCTGCCGCCTCCGCTGTGCGCCGCGGGCGCAGCGGCCGGGGTTGCCTGCGGGCCGGCGGCCGGCGGCGGCCTCTCCATGGCTGCCTGACACACGCCGCGGCGGGGTGGGGGCGAGCGGGGCCGGAGAGGCCCGCGCGCAGGCGCCCTCCGGCCGCCAATGGGAGCCGACCGCCCCGTGCCGCCTCCCCGCGCTCGGCGCTCGGCTAGCGGGGCCTGGAGGGCCGGAAGCGGCGTGGGTCCGCTGGCCGGCGGCGTGCGGTGTGGCGAGTGCCGGGCGGAGGTTGGGGGGCTCTTATCTCCGCCGGACGTTTCGCCCGGCCGCGTTTCTTTTCCGTTCAGCCTCGGGGCCCGTGAGGTGTCCTCATGGCGGCCATCTACTCCGGGGTTCACCTGAAGCTGAAGAGCGCCAGGACCCCATGGGAGGACAAGCTGAAGCTCGCTCGCTTCGCCTGGGTTTCCCACCAGTGCTTTCTCCCCAACAAGGAGCAAGTAAGCGTGGTTTGGTAGCAAACGCGGGCAGAACCAGCGTCCCCGGCGGTGATGGGGACGGAGCTGATCTTGAAGGTCTTTACAACTTCGGTGATTCTGTAGTTGTATGAGTCACTAAACCCAGAGCTCGCTGCTTAGAGTGCTCCTGAGTGGTAGTGCGGGCCTAGCTCTACGTGTCCCATGTGCAGAGACTTGCCCTCTCCTTAATTTTTTTTTCCCTTGGGCTGAAGTTCTGGTTTCCCTGTGTGAGGGCTGCCTCATGCTGCCCCTCCAGCGCAGAAGCTCGGTGGGAACTGTGCTTTGCACCGCCTGAGAGCAGCTTGAATTCTTTTTATTTCGATTCCTTATAAATTATGGTGTAGCCCTACACCACATTTTGAAATCAGCATTTTAAGTCAGTAGTCTTCAGCCTCTTCCAATTTGTAGATCCAAATTCCTAGGCTTCAGTTTTGATGTAGTAAATTTAAACCTGCCAGGAAGAGGATATCAAAGTTACCCCATGTATTATCTGTGTTTGCAAGTCTGTAGTTTAAAAGATTACCTTTGTTTCTTAGTGTCACCCGTTAGCATTGTTGTCTCAGTTGAAGAAGCTGATGAAAGGACTTCAGAGTGTTAACTGTCCCGTGAGCACAGGGCCAGCACTGGATTTAGAATTAAATGTCCTAGGATTTAGGTGGTGTCTGAAACCTTCAAAAATAGACTTTTCTGCCCATTCAAATTCTTTCTGCTTGGATATAGAGCTCTTCTCAGGGACTGAGTGCTGTAATTGTGATTAGATACTAGTTTTGTCATATTTTCACATTTGTGATTTTTTTTTTCTCCATTTGTTAACAGGTATTACTTGATTGGGTAAGCCATACGTTGGTTTCATACTACAATAAGAAACTTGAATTGGAGGATGAAGTTGTTGAGAAGCTTTGGGCATATCTAGACAATGTTATCCATAGTAGAAGGCTACAGAATCTTTTGAAGAGTGGGAAGACTATCACTCTCAGCTTTTCAATTGCACAGGTAATGAAAATGATGGGTATTTTGTAATGTACTGAATAGCAATGCCTGTCTTCTACAATATGTGACCTTTCCTCACGGGATAGAGTGTTACATGAAATAAATAATAATTAACCTGATGTTTTTTAGGACCTCTATTAAAAACTCTTCTATTTCTGTTCTGCAATATGGTTTGTATTTGTGTGGAACTAAGACTGAAAAAGGCAGGGGATTCTAATAATAACCTCCAAGTTAATCTGCTCCTCTGTCTTTCACGTCTTCAAACTGTCTGAGTGGGCACTGAATTAAGTATTTAATTCAGGTAAGTAAAGGTTTGTTTCTGTATGGTTTTCTTGTATGTTATTTAATGTTTATATTACCGTTTTGCCTAGGAGTCTTAGGAGTGATTTTCCCCTAAATGAGGGGCTCCTCTGTGCAATTGGCATGAGTACTCATGCACTGCTCTGTGCTGTTCAGCAGACCCAGTCTCAGATCTTGCAGCTTTTCGTGATGAATCTGAATGAGTTGTCCTTATGATTTCCCCTTCCACTGGGAGCTTAGGGCCCTCTCTCAGCCCAATAGACCAGCTTGCAGTGCTGTCATGTCCCTGTCTGTGCATCTCTGGGAGATCTATGTATGCCTGCAGGAGCTTTAACCAGCATTCTTTGGTGTCTGTCTCACCTGTGTTGTGCTTCTAGCCCAGTTCTCCCCAGTTTCTCTTCACTGGAGGAACCTTGCCTGCTAGATACATGAATCTGGATGCAAATTATTGTGCCGTGCTGTTTGTCTCACAGCTTTCCCAAATTAATTTTTAGTTTGCTCACTGTGAATTGCATTAAACCGATTTAGTGGTGGCATCAAATCATTATTTAACTTAATCACTTTGTTATTTTAGCCTCAGATGAAAATCTATGGAGGAGACTTCAGTTACAATTTAACTAAGTTCAGAACTGAACCAGAAAGTCTAACTTATTATTTCAGCATCCTGGTTACAAAAATGATAGAACTCATGGACGGCTGTAGGAGACAGTCAAAGTGGCTGAAAAAATGACCTCTTCAGTTGTACACTAGTTGGAAGGAAGCGTGGGAAAGCAGTCGTTACCTGCTGGAATTGAGTTGTGAAGTACAGAAAATTGTTTGAATGAGAGGGGGAGTGGAGAAAGTGTACTGATTTAACCATCTACTGAGTGTGAAGATGTCTGACTGAAGATTGGTTAAGAACTGTAGGCCAGGATGCTATTAAAACTATTTGGAGGTCACAAAAGCGAGCAGATATAAAGGGGAACAAAGGAGAAAACGGGGAGATCAACACAAAGTTTAAGAAAAGAAAGGGAAATGGAAGTTCAAGTTAAACTTGTTTAAGTAAACTTAAGTAAAGTTATTTGGAATTGTGTATCTCTTAAAGAAAAGAGAAGACACTTCTTCAGTTTCCAGGTATTAGCACTGGAAGCTTTGGCTTCTATTGCAATGCAATGATGATATTTAGTCATAGACATTTTTGCTTGTGGTAGACTTCTTGAACCGAAGAAAGTGTGTTATGTATGCTTTTTTGTTTGTTTGTTTGGAACATGATTTGGGGGACTTAGCAAGAAGAGAGGAAATTTTCTCTCCCCTCTCTTTCTGCAGGATTACTGTTAGGATGAAATAGTGTATAGCATAGTGTATGCTGTTTCTGGTAACATCTGTACTAAATGAGGGGTTCCTGTGTTGCAAACAAAGCTCACAGTTCTGGCTAGATGAGCTTCTAGTCTGAGACCTCTATGAGAGGCCCAGCAGCAGCTGTTGGCAAGTCCCTGTTCCTTTTTTCTTGCTTCCAGAGCTCACAGAAGAAGTTGTTGGTTTATTATGATGAGCTTTGTCTTTGTGTACAAAATTGATTGTTTTTTTTTTCTTTTTCTTTGAACATTCAGGTCATAAATGAAAGATTATCGGAGGCCTGCTCTCAAAAAAACCAGCAAAACCTTGGCTCGGTGCTGAGTTGCTCCAGCGGCATCCTTTCTACTCCTTCACTCTCCATCATTTACACAGCAAAGAGTGAGCTCTTAGTTGACCTCCTCAGCAAGCTCTCTGAGCTGGCATGTCAGCAGCTGGCTTCAGAAGATGCTGTGGGCTCCCAGTTGTTCAGCATCCTCCACCTTACCTTTGTACAGTACCTCCTGATCCAGAGGCAGCAAACCAACCCAAACCGTGTGTTTGGGCAGGTGACAAGCCACTTGTTCCAGCCATGTCTGCTACTGAGGCACTTGCTGACCACACGGAGCTGGACACAGTCAGATGACAACCACGTGCGTCAGTACTTGAGCAGGGAAATCCGAAATCAAGTAGAGACATTGTTGCAGGCTGGTTTATTCCAGCCTGAGCTCTTCTCCTCCTACAAAGAGGAGTTGCTGCCAGAAGGGGAACCTCAGGAGAAGAAGAAAGGAGCTTTGAAAAATCTCTTGCTTCCAGTAAACACTGTGCAGACCAAGTTGAGGAGTGGCTTTTGTGAACCTGCCATTCATGGACCAGTTGTGGCTAGTGCAGTGTCCCTGCTATATAAACTCTTTCTGGACTCATACTGCAAGGCAGAAAACCACCTTGTGTGTTTCCACATGCTTACCAGGCTTTTTGACTGTCTCAGGCTCTCTGGCCTACAGCAGAGCGTGGGACAGGACACGCTTTCCCCTGCAGACTGGAGCACAGAGCTCCTTGCTTTGGAACAGCTTCTGAACTTGGTGCTTAACAATGATATCTATAACATTGCCAGTGACCGCATACGGCACAAGGAGGTACAGTTTGGGTTTTACTGCAAGCTGGCGCAGATGTTGTTGAGTCACTCCCAGGCTTCCATCCCAGCTTGGTTCAGGTGCCTCAAAGTTTTACTGTCATTAAACCACCTTATAATAGAGCCCGACCTGCTTGATTTAGTGGCCTCTGCTTGGGTTGATGCAAAGGTGTCTGAGCAACGTGCAAAGAAGCCCCAGGAGGCTCTGATCAACACCATGTTTCAGACATACTCCAAGCTGCGGCAGTTCCCACGGCTTTTTGAGGAGGTTCTGACAGTCATTTGCTGGCCAGCTGTCGATGAGCTGAGGCTGCCTGTCTTGTCTGCTGGATTGACAGTGAAACTTCGCGAGTGCCTCCTTGAGCTGCCACCCAACCAGATTCTGGACATTGTGTGTCTCTTAGTGGAGAAATGCCAGCTCCTTATTCCTGCAGTTGAAAGGTCTGTTGACATGGCCTTGAAACTGATGTCATTGAGCTCAGTGCTGCACGCTTTTCTGTTCAACATGAGGAGTTTAGATGATGTCACTCCTTCCCCTGTGGTTCTTCGTATGCAGAATCTGCTGGCCAAGATGCAGCAAGAAGTAATTTGTCCGCTGATAGAGCTGCTGAAGGCTCCTAGGAGAGAGGAAGAAAAGTCAGACCTTTGGCTAAGAAAGGCCAGTGACTCTGCTCTCCTCCTTGTTTACACTTGGGTTGAGGTAGACACTTTGTTTAATATTAGCTGCTGTAAATATGTGTCTCCATCAGCTGAAACTGGTGGTGCTACTACTGCCTCTGCTGCAAAGCCCTGGGACATTTCGACTTTCATTCCTGGTGTGGAGGAGCAGTGTTGGGAGAGAGTCATGGAACTTGCAAGTAGTTTTACCTCCACTAGTAAATACTGCTTAGAACTGCTTGCACTTCAGAAAATGAAGATGATTCTAATGCAGACTCAGGCTGACGTACAGGCCCTGCAGCAAGCTGCAGCTTTCATCATAGAGTCTGGGAGAGCTAGCATGAGCAGAGGAGAATCTGAACCATGGGATGGAGATATCTGCGCAATAAATGATCTCACCTACCCCACGGCACACTGTCACCTCGTCATCTCCAACCTGACTATCCTGTTGCCATATATTTCCCTGAAAAATGTACAGGACATTGCAGATGTGCTTTTGGAGACGTTAGTATTGACCAGATCACAGGAAACTGCCACAGACCAGGAGCCTTCCATCAGCATTGGAAAGATCTGTCTCAGTTTGATGCGCAGTTCCTTTCTCCCTGAGATGAAGGTTCTACACTGTGCTTTTCTGACCAGCCTTATTCATCAGTTCGCGAAGGTGCTGCCCTCTGCTGCTCAGGATTCGGTAGATCTGCCGCTTCTGCAGCTGTCTGCAAATGATATCTCTTGGCATGAAGAAATTCTGGGTCCTTGCAAAACGACTGACGCACTGTCAGAAAACAAACAACCGAAAGATGAGCCCAGTTTATCTTGGAAAACTCTGGAGAAGGTTGCCCAGTGTATATTACTGTTAGCAAAAAATAGTTCCCCTGTCATCCTGAAGGAAAGTCAAGTAGAAAGCTTTCTGACTTTGCTGGAAATTACTTCTCTTCTGAAATTAGACAGTCTTCTTCCCTCTGACTGTATCCGGTGTTTTTTATTGTTGCTGTCCCTGATAGCAAATACCAGGACTAGTGCCTCCTGCAGCAAGCTGTTATCACTGAAGTTTTTAAGTACCTGCTTCCATCTCCTCAGATGTCTGCAAGCTGGCAGGAATGCCAGCTCTGTTTTTAAAGTTTTTCATGCCAGTGATATTCTTGAGGCCATCTTAATGTCCCAGCTTACAGCTAGTAAATCCTTTACTGATACTTTGACTGTTCCTGTTTGGACAGAATATCTCCAGGAAGTCCAAGCCTCTTTGGAACACTTTCTTCAGATGATTGTTGAGAGAAGGCAAAGTGTGAGGCTTAACTTGGAAAAGTTTGTCTCTTTCCTCTCAAGCTGCAAGCCAGATGTTGGTGCAGTGAAAAGCAAATGCAGGAAAAACTGGAATCCCGCAGCTGAGCAATTACTGCTCTTGTCATTCACCACACTGTGTCACGTCCTCACGCTCTATCTTCAGCAGCAACCAGAAAAGAAGCTGCAGTCTACAGACATACTGTCTGCTTTGTTGGAGCCAGTAGTTCAGCAGATGGGGAAAGCTATTGAGCATGGTCTTCAGAGTAACACCCCAAACCACCATTTGCCTGTAGCGTTTATACCATCTGTCATGACTCTTCTCAAGGCAGATTTGAGCCACGCTGTCAGAAAGGGCTGGCAAAAGAATCCTGAGGAGTCCTGTGCATTTTTGGAGCAATCTCGTGTTAAACTGTACCGAAAGTTTTACTCTCAGATACTGAGAGAGCTGCCCTCTGCAGGAGGTCATCTGCAGTTCCTTCAGTCTGCCTTGCGGTTTTTAGCAGTCTTCTGCTCAGTGCCAGAGCTGTATCCTGGAAAAGAAAATGCAGTCACTGTTGTTTTTGCTATCCAAAAGCTTCTCACTGGTATGAAATCTCCCTTTCTTCGCTTCCCTCACTAATTTTGCATGGCAGAAGCAAGTTTAAAGCTGCTTATGTAAAATACACAGCTTTTTAAAAAATTCTGTACCTGTTTACGTGAGTGAAAGCAGTAGGCTATCCTTTTTTAAAAATGCTGAGTAGAAAAATTATCAGGAAGGCCATGTTGTGGTACCTGGACCACAACAGCCGTCTGATCTGATAAGGATCTTCTGGAAATTGTAAACACCTATGGCTTATTCATCTTTTAGTTCTTTATTGCATATTGCACCGAAAGGGAGTATAGCTTATTTGAAAATGTTGTGGAGTTGAGTGCAGGGCACTGTGAGGGCGGGGATTTCATGTTAGGACTAGGAACTATCAGGAGATGGCTATCATTATAACTTTTTTGCTGACTTCTCCTCAATCTGTGCCTAGCTTTCCTAGTGTTAGATTGCTGAAGTGCTTTAACCTGAGGAGATGATTAATCACTGTAAAAAGCTTTTTTTTCTCTCATTTTTTTTAATGAATAGATAAGGTATTACATAAATTGAAATATAGATTCCTGTTAAGGAAGACTTTTTTGTCATTGACACAAATCCAGTGGATACTTGTGGAACTGAGAAGCAAGCCTTCACAGTAGTCTAAGATGTAAACTCAGGACTGTCTATGTAGTAATAATTGAGCAAGTGAAGAGTATGACTGGTGATCAGTAGAGATCTGAACTTTCTCAGCTTAATGCCCTTGACTTGTGATGGCTTTTTGCCCAACACTTGTAGTACAGCCTGACAGCTTGTGTAGCCCATTTTCTTGGCTTCTGCACAAGCTTTATTGTAGCATTTCCATGTTTCTGAGAGCTTTTTATCAGTATGGTGACTGCTCTGTAAACTCTAGGGTAGTGAATACTTGAGAACAGCAATTCATTGCAATAATGGTGGTGGTGGGGATAAAGGGAATACTTGGGGCCCATTATAAATGGGTTGAAAAAGTACCCACATTGCTGTTTGAAGTTTTGATTCACCTTGTTTCTCCCTGTGGAAGTCTCTGTCTTAGAAACTGAAACTTGCTTGTTCAACGTGCAGGTCCTGTGATCACAATTCAGGTGATTCAAAGTATAGAGGTGGAGCTGACAGAGGTGGTTGTACAGCTACTGGGAAACTGCTCTGCTGAAGAATTTTATGCCATAATGAGGCTTTTGCTGCAGGGACTTGAAATGAGGAACACTTGGCAACAGAAGGCTAAAGTAAGGAATGAGCTCAGTTTATTGTCAAGTTCTTTCTTCAGTTTTCTATAACTTGAAAAAATGTGTTAACTGGATGGCATCTGCTTAAATATTTTTTCCTCTTTCTGCTTTATGGTTTGGTCAAATTAATTTGTGTGGTTAAAGAGTTTGGTAACTGTGTTGAGGTATGTTATGGACGTGAACTGAGAGAGGTGGAGTGTTCATGGAAACTTACTGGAAAAACTTTCTGACCATTTTCATAGAACTATAGAATACTTTGGATTGGAAGGGTCTTTAAAGATCTTCTAGTTCCAACCCACTTCATGGGCAGGGCTGCCACCCACCAGCTCAGGCTGCCCAAAGCCCCATCCAACCTGGCCTTGAATGCCTCTAGGGATGGGGCATCCACAACTTCTCTGGGCATCCTGTTCTAGTACTTCACATTTCCCCCCTATCATCTTACCTAAATCTCTTTTAGTTTAAAACCATTCCCCTTGTCCTGTCATTATCCATCCATGTAAAAAGTTGGTGTTTCTCCTGTTTATAAGCTCCCCTGAAGTACTGGGAGATTGCAATGTGGTCTCCCCAGAGCCTTCTTTTCTCTAAACTGAACAAGCTCAGCTTTCTCAACCTTTCTACATAGGAGGGGTGTTCCAGCCGTCTGATAATCTTCATGGCCCTTCTCTGGACCTTCCTACAGCTCATATGTTTCTTGTATCTGGGGCCCTGTACTCCTGATGGGGCCTCATGAGGGCAGAGTAGAAGGGGATAATCCCCTCCCTCTCTCTTCTGGCCACTCTGGATGCAGCCCAGGATACTGTTGCTTTTCTGGGCTGCACACTGTTGGCTTATGACAAACTTTCCATCCACCAAGTTCTTCTCTGCAGGGCTGCTGTCTATGAATTCTTTTCCCAGTCTGTATACGTATCTGGGATTGCTTCAACCCAAGTGCAATACCTTGCACTTCACCCTGTTGAATCTCATTAGATTCACATAGGCCCGCTTCTCAGGTTTGTCCAGGTCCCTCTGGATGGCATTCCTTAGTTCTGTTGTGTCAACTGCACCACTCAGCTTGGTGTCGAGAGTACACTCAATCCCACTGTCTCTATCATTGATAAAGAACACTTGTGTGTTGAAGAACACTTGTGCCAAGATGGACTCATGGAGGGCACCACTTGTGACTGGCCTCCAGATAAACATAGAGCTGTTGACCACAAGCTTCTGGCTGCAACAATCCAATCTTTATCCACTGAATAGTACAGCCTTCAAATCTATCTCTCTACAATTTAGAGAGAAGGTGCGGGATGACGTCAAAGGCAGATGATATCAGGTGCCCTTCCTTTGTCTGCTACTACCATAATTTCATTAAAGGAGACTACTAGATTGATCAGGTATGATCTCCCTTTGTGAAGCTATGCTGGCTGTCTTGGATCACCTCTTCATCTTGTGTATGCCATTATCTCTCTTCTAGGAGGATCTGCTCCATGATTTTCCCAGACACAGACATGAGGTTCACCAGCCAGTAGTTTCCTGGGTCTTTTCTCCCTTTCTTAAAAATGGGAGTGTTATTTCCTTTTTTCCAGTCACTGGGGACTTCACCTGGCAACCATGACTCCCAAATATGACGGAGAGTGACTCGGTGTCCATATCAGCCAGCTCCTTCAGGACTTTGGGGTGCATGTCATCCAGACTCATATGGACTTGTTCATGTTCAGCCTCAACAGGTGGTCTTGAACTTGCTCTTTGCTTACATTAGGAAGGATTTTTCTCCTCCAGCTGCTGCCTAGAAGTTCAGGGACACAAGAAATTTGGGTAGCCTGACTGCCAGGAGTGACTGAGGCAAAGAACTCGTTGAGTCCCTCAGCCTTCTCCATATCTGTTGTAACAAATTCTCCCTTGTCATTTATCAGAGAGGGTACGCTCTCCTTGGACTGACTCTTCTGATCAGTGTACCTGTAGAATCCCTACTTGTTATTTTTTTCCTTGCTTAAGTGTGGTTCCACTTTAACGACTCAGTAGCCTTAATTCCATGTATTGTCAACAGAAATCACGTCTGTGATGCTGAAGATTTCTGCCATGCTGAATCTTTTCTTTTACTTGCTGATTAGAGCTCTTCTAGAACAGGCATTTAGCAGTCCGTGAGGTTAACTACTGCTTGTCTGTGATTCTCCTTAACAGGTTTAAAGACATTATTTTTTGAAATGATAGTAGTTTTAAATAAAACAAAGGCTGCGCTCATGCCTTTGGTATTTGTCTCTAAAATGACTTTTACTTTGTAATAGTAATATTACTACTCAAAAAATACTACTCAGTAGCTTTTTACTGTGCCTTTCTCCACAAAAGCTTAAGCAGCAGTGGTAACACATGGAATACTTCAGGCTAAAAAGCCAGCTGCACCCTCCATAGAAAGCTCAGTGATTTGAGATGAAGACTTGAATTAAACTTGGGAGTTATCTGATTGTCTTTTTTCTCAGAAGTAGACATGAATATGCCACTTCAATTCTTGATGGCTGTTTGAAAGTACATCTGGAATTATATGGATGTGAGTCTACCCACCTGAGTGCATATAAGCACTGGAATACATATGTAAGTGCTCCAAGGTTGATATACAGTGATAAGGCCATTTTGGTTTGTAGTGTGTTTCTTCATTCAGTTTGTCAAAACCAGATTTCTTTTTTTTACACAAACAAAAGTCTTGCTGTGAAATGCAGCATTCTTGGTATATCTTAGTATACCATTGTCCCTATACTCCTCTGGCTTCCTTCTGCTATGTAGTCGCTGCTAAGAAAGACTTTCCTTTCATAAAAATCACTTCAACCTTTTCATATAGTAAGTTGATTCTGAATGTAGTAGGCTGTACATTTGGGCTTGTGCTGCTCAGCACACTGAATTTCATTGAGCTGGTAATTATTTTGCTATTTCCAGAGGGCTGTGCTGGTGGAAGGACTTCCATGTGTCAAGGCTCTGGTGATGCTCAAAACTGTCACAGCCCTTGAAAGAGCTCTTTTGTGCTTGAAAGGAACCAGTGCACCTTGTACCATGACTGATTGTCAATCTGCTTTCTGCAGGAAGTATTGTCAGCTATTACGCTAATCAAATTGTTGCTGAGCTGCCCATTAAGTGGAGACAAAGAGAAAGCTTTCTGGTTTGCCAGCCCACAGATAATCACAGCTTTAGCCGTAAGTATCTATTTATTGTAACTTCATTACCTATCCCTTTTATTTGTTGGAGTCCATAGTAATTGCATCTGTAACATGCACAAAGGAATACTGGAACAAAAAGGTATTCATACCACATTCGCTGGTACTGTCTTGTGTAAATCTTTTCTCACTGCTGTCTGGTAAACCTCCTCCTGTGTGTAAGTCATCCACTTCTTATTTTTAATAATTTTCCTGGGACTGCAGTGTGTAATCTGGAGCTTGGAAGATGCTTGTTAGGCTGCAGAGAGAGACTCTGGATCTCCTGTCCTCCTCCTTCCTGTATAAAGGAGGAGGAAACCATCAGCTGTATGTCACAGAAAAAGCTAACAGCAGCAAAACAAACAGACAAAAGAATGAGTATGCTTATATTAAAAAATTCACTGATTTTAGAATAGGAAACTTAACTGACAGTAATAAAATTCAGGCTTTATGTCCTTGACTGTGCAGCATCCAAACCTAGTTATATAGGTATTTTTTCTTCTATGGTGATTATGTGTCTCTATCTGGACCACTATTTGTCAGATGCTGGCTCTACAGTGCTGGGAAACAGAACTTGCAATTTCTGCTCTTCCTCTGCATGCTTGCAGAAGAGAGAACTGGATCAGTGCACTCATGTGAGGAAGTGTAAAGAAATGCTGGCTACTGTAGTGTAGAGTAGTCCACTTTATCAGGAGGCTGGGAAATAGTTACAATTCCACATTATAGCAGTGCTCACCTGAAAAACATCACATGCATCCTCTGTTCAGGATGCAGTTGCAGCGAAATTGCTGAAAATGAAGGAGTCTCTCTGCAATCTAGCTTGCACCAGTCTAGTTCTAATGACTCAAGTCAAAGTACTGTGGTTCTCTGTTTTTTGAATGCTTATGAAAGGTGGCTGACACATTCTTTCTTTGTTTCTTGTGTAGCTGCAAACCAAAGAGGCCTGTCAGGACCTGTCATTGACTTCCAACGTAGTTGTACCTATTCTAAAGACTGCAGCAGCTCTACTAAGGCAAGGAGAAAGGGTTCTCTTGAATCCGCACCATGTGGCGTTGGCATTCAGCATCCTCCTAACAGTCCCTCTGGATCATCTGAAGATAGAGGACTATGAGAATGTCTTTCTGGGAGTCCATGAAGTGCTGTTTTCTATTGTGCAGTGTCACCCAAAGGTATATCTCTGAGGTGGTGGGAGAAGGAAGGAAAAAGCAGAAAGAACTAAGACAGAAGCTGATGATCAGAAACTTTTAAGAGTTGTCTTGATATTATTTGTCCTGCTTGAGTGAAAGTGCTTTGTACCACTTTTCATGTAAGAACCTCAAAATCACATCACTTCAATTACTACTCTGCCATCTTATGCTTGCTTTGTGAGCTGTCAGCAGCAGATTGCTTTTCCAGCAAGGTGATGTGCCTTTGCTAAAAGCCTGTGGTAAAAGCTGCCTATCCAGACTCTTTTCAGTGTTCCTGAACCCTGCATTCTCTGAGTATGACTACACAGCTTCTCCACCAGCAAGTGCAAATTCCCTACGCATGGGAGTACAAATTCAAATGTTGCTTTACGGGAGATGGAGTAACTCTAATGTGATGTTTGCTCATTATTTATATTTGAATATGCTCTTGATTGTAGACCTGCTCTAGGATTCTCATCTGCTGGAGTCTACTGATGAAGAATGTGAAGATAGTCTTTGCTCCTGATATCTGTATAAGCCACATAGATTCCTTCTCAGGAGTTAATTTCCCTCTTACTATGGAATGCTATACATATCTGTCCTTGCCACACGCTTTACCACATAATCACAGGTGTTTTTACTTCATGTCTTTGCAGGTGATGTTGAAAGCTGCACCATCGTTTCTGAACAGTTTTCATCGTCTGGTTGCTTCTGTCATGGTTGAAGGACGTCAGAGAGGGGACAGAGGTGTCATATCTCTTCTACTTCCATACTGTATATGTGCACTATAATTGTGTATATGCTGCGAGAGGAGATGCAGGACAGGGCAGTCTGGCAACAGATGAAAAGTCCTCTAAACCTACTCATGACATTGAAACCATTAGCCCTGTCTGTCCTGTACGTAAATTTGAGGATTAGTTTTATAGTGTACTGCACACGTAAAGATAAATGGAGCTCCTGTGAAGCTGCATCCAGACAGTACTTTTGGGGGAATAAGGTGTTCCTCTCTGTCTGGCAGGTGATCAGCGTGCAGTAAGACTTGCTTTACGCAATTTCTGCTCTTCCTATTAAGTGATACAAACACTTTATAGGAAGGGGCTGTGAACCCAGCTGATACATACTAGCACACTTGAATAAGAGTCCTGAACTGGTCCTGCTGAATGTAGCTTCTTGAGGCTGAAACTGTTTACTATGGACCTAAATATTTAGCGGTTTATGTTAAGCGTGCAGCCAAGACATTCAAGTTACTGGGGCTGAGTATCTTAAAATTAAGTAAAATATAGACACTTTACTGGAAATTGTTGAAGAATTCACATTGGCCATAAAGCATGAGTGTCAAAGTAACTTAGTGAAGGATGTTCACAGTCCTGTATTTTTGTGCTGGCCAGAACATAAATACCCTGTCATTAATCATGGTAATGCTTTGAAGCAAATTGACTTGATGGCTGGCAACTTACCATGTCACAGCTCTCTACTGATGTCCTATAAGTTGTTCCATGTTCGGTTTTATCTCAGCTGATGTGTGTTGCCCACAACTATGTGTGTCTGTATGTTAATACTCATATGTATGTATGATGTCTAGATTTCCCTTCTTCCTTGTTTGTACTGGTTCTTCTCATTCACTGCCTACTGAAAGAGTGAACTCTCAGGTGATCTCTCCAGTCTCACTTTAATATCTCCAGTGCTGTGGCTTCTGCTCTTATATTTCACCTAATAAATGTCATCAGAGAGCTTTCTTACTGTGCTATTTCTAAGAGATGTCTTCTGATTTTCTACCAGGTAGAGAATATCGCTTCCTAATCTCCTTATTTTCCCTGGTGTTCACTGGGTTTGAATCATGGCAGGGACGATAGCTGCTGCTTTCAACTCTTCGGCATATCTGACAGATACCTCTTATATTGCAGTGTGTGTGGAGTTAGAATTAGTGTGCTCTTACAAATCTGCCATTGTAAGAGATGTATGTGGTGTGTTGTGAGGGTGTGGGGGGACCTCTGAGCTGTGGCTTTTCAAAAAAAGATAAAATGAATAAGCTGGCGTTGGCTTTGTGCGTGAGTTTGTTTTTTTAAAGGAATTTTTTACACTTGAATAACAGATTGCAACTTTCTTTTTTAGGCAACACAGATGAATTTGAAGTTATACTGAAATGTGCACACCTTGTGGAACGGATGTATAGCCACATTGCTGCAAAAACAGAGGAATTCACTTTGTTTTCTGCTTTCATTGTGGCTCAGTATGTGACAGAATTGCAGAAGGTAACATGTTCTGTTTTGAAAGTGCCATGGTATTGGCATATGCCTTGTACCGATGCAGTTCTGATCCAGACTTATTTTGAGCAAGAGTTCCTGAGAATCTTTCTTACCCAACTCCTAACAACTTTATAAAAGGGTGGGGTCTAGCTTCTCACAAGACCTACATTCAGATTGCTATTCTCTCCAACATAATGAATTTCACCAGGATTTGAATGCTGCATGCATTGTCAGTACCTGCTAATTATTTGTGGCTCTAGTCTGGACATGGAGAAAAATACACAGATTAATTTTATTACATTTTTTTCTGTGGTAAGAAGACTATCTGATGCTATGACCACTTCAGGACTCATAAAAAAAACCAAAGCATATTACTAAGGGCATTATCCAAATGCCATTTGAACACTGACAGGCATGGGGCATCAACCATTTTGTTAGGAAAGCTGTTCCAGTGTTTTACCCTCCTCCCCCTACCATGATAAAGAACTTTTTCCTAGTAGCTGATCTGAACCTCCTCTAAAACCTGATACCTCATCTAAACCTCACATTCTTTGGAAAGCCAGTTTTGCCATAAAAAATTTATGGTCAGAGGACCTGCACGAGAGATGCTGTTTTTGTGCACAGTCCCTCAACGGGGAGCTTATAAACAGGAGAGCAACCAACTTTTTATGTGGGCGGGTAGTCGTAGGAGAAGGGAGAATGGCTTTAAATAAAAGGGGAGGTTTAGATTAGATGTTGGGGTAAATTTTTCACTTATAGGGTGCTGAGGCATGGGCACAGGCTGCCCAGAGAAGCTGTGGATGCCCCATTCCTGGAGGCATTCAAGGTTAGATTGTATTGGGTCCTGGACAGCCTGATCTATTAGAAGATTTGGGGGGACTGGAACCAGATGATCTTTAAATTCCCTTCCAACCTAAGCCACTCTGTGAAAAAACTAGGGATGAATTAAGACTAGTTCTGTTCTATTGAACTAGCTCTGAGCTTCACTGAATTTTGTTCACCACTGGATGTAGAGCCTTTACTCAGAGGGAAGCCTGGCTTAAACTATCAAATGACCTTTCAAGTTAGAAGCTTGAGTACAGTCTTGTGAGACTTCTAGGAAAGTTTTGTGTAAATCCTTTCACTGATGAATGAGAAGTGGTAGATGATAGTTGAAGCTGCAGATTGGAATACATGCATGGAACCTATGGATGTGGAAAAGTGAATTTGTGTAGTGAACTACAGGAAGCTGTGACAAAGGAGTCTTTTCAGTCTCTGACAGAACAAGTAGGTGATGATTTGTTTCACCATTAAACTGGTGAGAATTGATGGATATCAGAGGAAAGGGAAGACTCAGCATGCTAGTCTAGAAGAAATGCATAGATATATTTTATGTTGCTCTGCAGAGGGAGAGAAAAAAATACTTTAACTGTTTATCTCATCAAAGTCTATTTGAGTGGCTTTTAGCCTATATCTGAAGACCTTGAGT